TATAGGGGATTATATAGGGGATATAGTGGGATAATGGAAACGAAAATCGAAACTACTATTTGGGGTTTAGGGTTTAGGGTTTAGGGTCTAAACTCCTTGAAGGGGGTTCTATAGGGGTCCTTAAAGGGGGTTCCATGGGGGATTAGGGGTTAGGGTCTAAACTCCATAAAGAAGGTTCTATAGGGTTTACGGTTTACGGGTTAGGGTCTAAATCCTTGAAGGGGGATTATAAGGATGATCAAAGAGGATACTCGGAGTTTAGACTACAGCGCTCATAAAGTTCAGTGGACCCGGGACTACGCAGTCTGGGTTGCTGTGAAGGAACTTAAACCAAGTTACCATAACAAGGACACCCGCTTATTTACTATATTATATACACATAATGTGGTAACCTGATGAAAATTCCTGAACAGAAATCCAGCAGTTTCAGGCACCCTAAACCCTAAACCCTAAAACCCTAAACCACCAAACCCTAAACCCCAAAACCCTAAAACCCCTAAACCCTAACTATAAAGGTAGGTCCTCGGTCACCTTAGGCAGAAATCGCTGCGTGGGCTTTGCCAAAGCCTTTGAGCGACTCTGCACCTCAGGTAGGCAAGCTGTGTCATATGGGGTTTAGGGTTTAGGGCTTAGGGCTTAGGGTTCAGGGTTCAGGGCTTAGGGTTTAGGGTTTGGGCTTAGGGTTTAGGGTTCAGGGTTTAGGGTTTATAGAGGTTATAATAGGATAATGGAAAAGAAAATGGAGAACTACAATAATGGGATTATATAGGTTTAAAATGCGAATAACTTAATAATGGGGTTATATAGGGATTATGTTGGGGTTATAATAGGGTTATATAGGGGTTACAGTAAAGTTATATAGGGGTTATATTAGGGTATTAATGGGGTTATCATAGGGTTATATTGGGGTATCATAAGGTTATCTTGGGGCTATATTGGGGGATTATAGGACTATCTTGGGGTGATCTAGGGGCATTATAGGGTTCACGGCGCATGGATAAGACTTAGATTCCTTTGGCTCCACGTTGCTGATGGAGCTCAGTGACGCTGTAGCTACATCCCATGAAAGCTTCTGCTTTTCATAGTCTGCATTCTTTACAGGCCTGCGGCAATGCTTTTAGTCTGAGCGCTGATGCTCTCAATCTTAGCAAAATAATCATGTAGATTAGGGCCGGTTAGGGATTATAGCAAGCTCAGGCATCTAATTGCTCCTCGATGTTATTGGAACATCCGTGGGTACCTACTCGTTCTTCATCCTACTTGTAACCGGGGCTCTGGCTTTCGGTGCCTCGAACAAGGTCCCGGCAAGGAGCCTGTGACAGCACCAATGGTTCGATTCAACTCCCCAAAACTAAACAACTTGGACGCCGTTCAAATAGCTTCAGGTCTAAACAACTGGTTCGAATGAAACTTGGACAGCACAAGTTCAGCCATAGAGTCATCAAGATAAGGTCATCCCCTCTGCCTGTCCAGGTCCGTTTCATCATCTGGCTCCAGTGGCGGACTAGGTTCTCGCGGCTTCGCCTCAGCCAAACGTTGCTGAACGACTACACCGGGCTCTGAAAGTCTTTCAGGAACGGGCTTTTTGCTTGGGCCTTGCGCTTGGAAAGACCTGACAAACAGTGCGCGGCCCTTGATTGCTTGATCTCTTTTTCGACAGCGACAGCCGAACCTGATGTGGATCCTGCAGGCAAGTCTATAGTCCCCCTTAAGTAGATAGAATATGGGGTATATGGGGATCTTATTATAACATACCCAAAACCATATTCTATCTACTTAAGGGGGACTATAAGCGTGAGCCTTCTGTTCAACGCATGTCTGCATGCCGCGCAGCCTCTGCAATGGAGGCCGCTGCCCAGCCAGCCACATCTGCCTCCTTTGAATCGCTTACATGGAGGTTTCCCAAAATTGGGGGTACCCTTTTGGGGATCCCCATAATAAGGACTATAATATATTAGGATCTATATTGGGGTCCCCTTATTTTGGGAAACTACCACATTCATCTTCTAACGACTTAGGCTACATGAAGGAATTGCCCACGAGATCCATGACAGCACCTTCCATGCATCACCATCGCCCAGCTTGTGGCGCTTCTTTTTTCGCTGCTCCTGGATACCCACAGCTTGCACATCACACAGCACCAGCTCACGCTTCTCAAGGCCTCTTTTCTTTGCTTTTCCTCCTCGCGAACTCGCCTGAGATAGTCTTGAAAATTCAAGGGCGAGCGGTGGCGAGCACGCTACAAGAACGATGCACTGGTAGAAACTTGCGCCCGCTGCAAGCCAAGCATCTTCTTTTCCTCCCGTCGTTGTCGCGTCTCCTCCCTGTCAGAGCGCACTTCTGATCTCTGTGACCCGTAGAAACCAAGGTAGTGGAAACCGGTCCTGGCCATTCTGTCTTCTTCCCACCTGTGACAAGGCTCAAGGACCACTAGTGCTCTCGTCCCTTTGACTCAAAGAATCGTCGCATCAAACCCCCCCGGGGCCTCCTCATCTTTTCCTCTTTCCGCTTCCTCTCCTCCTCGCGTGCCTGCTTCCGTTGTTCTGCGGCGTCTCTGGCCTCTAAAACCTGCAAGTCACTCCACAAGGCATGAAAACATTTCCGGGGTCCTTTCCCCACGTGGACGCGGTATGCATATTATAGAGATGTTTTTTCTGACTTTGTATAGCAGGCTCCCCCAACTGTTGGGGCCTTCGGAAGATCCTCATTTGCTTGTCTGCTACTTTGCATACTGCCAAAAGCTAGCCTGCTTTGCAGCAGCTTGAATGATTCAATTTAGGCCTTCCCGCCTTAGACTAGTCTTAGCGGAAATGCCCATCCCTAAACCCTAAACCCTAAACCCACAGGGAGAAAGCCTAAAAGAATTCCAGCCGTTGCAGCTCCTTACCTTCAAGAGCTAACACTCTTGACAACTCAGCGCATGCTTCTGGTGGCTAATAGGGTTACAAAAGGGTTATAGGGGTTCCAATAGGGTTATATAGGGGTTAGACTAGGGTTATATAGGGGTTATAATAGGGTTATATACGGGTTATAATAGCTCTACTTACTTTATCCCGAGGACCATAGTACCGACTTTTGAATTGCGCTCCTGGCAAACGTATGTCCAGCTCACACCCTTTAAGGCTGAGGGTTTGGGTTTGGGTGTTGAGGGGAAGGGCTTAGGACTTCAAAGGGATTGTTAGTTCTATTGCTATTGATGCTAAGGGTTTGCATTTTCAAGCTTCGGGTGGGTAGCTTTAGGTCTAGGAGTTAGGTATGCGTGATCTTAAGGCCCTTGGTTAGACTGTCTGGGGTCGGGTTGAAGTTTCGAGCTTATGGTGGATAGGTGCTTGGGTTAGGCTTGCTGCGTCAGTTAGGCTTCGGACTTAGGGTGATGTTCCGTCTTTGAGGATCGTGGTTGGGAGTTTGGTATTAGGTTTAAGTTAAGGTTTTGGGGTCACTTAGGCGGTGCTTTAGAGTTGACGCGGGTAAGGCTTAGAACGTAGAGCGTAAGATGTGTTAAGCTTAGGGCTTTAGCTTTGAGGTTTCGGCTGCGGGAAGGAAAGCGCCGGCCGGACATAAGTTCGGAATGCAAAGTACTGCCTAAGGCTCGTTCCGTGATCGCAGGCACTCCCTGCCTTGATAAACCATCGCTGAAGCTCTTCCTCCCTGCCAGAATGTGCTGCAACACTGTGGCCATGAGAGAAATGTTCACTGGCAACCTAAATGAATATAACTTTTTTTCCGAACTGGCATTTCAATCGTACAGTCTGTCGGAGATAGGCTTACCGCAACAATCCCCAGCACTGAGCAGCCTCTTCATCCGGCTTTCCTCGTATTTTCGCATTTCTTCTTCTCTGCGTTTTCTTTCTTCCTGGATCCAGCTTGAGTTGCAAGGCTGCATCTGGTGCACGGCAACTGCACGGCGGCGTCCTCGCGCAAGCGTGCCTTCTCTTCTTCTCTCACACGCTTGCGTTCCGCGGCAAGTTTGGCTGCCTTAGCTCAGTGCAGTGGTATGCAAATAATGACCAAACGACTACAGATGCGATAGCAAGCGGGCCTTTTCGGCTCTTCTTTGCATTTCTTCCTCCCGTCTCATCCTCTTTTCTTCCCACTTGCGGATCTCCTGGTGACCAGCTGCCAGGATGCCAATCACGGGGAGAATTTTTTGTAATAATGGAAACGGAAATGGAAACTACTAATTATATAGTATAGTGGGATTATATGAGGGTAATGCAAAAGAAAATGGAAACATATGGAAACTACTATAGACTGTACACTGTACTTGCAGAAGGCAGCCACAAACCCTAAACCCTAAACCCTCACCTAAACTCCCTAAACTGCCTCTTCATGCTTTCGTCTTCGTTCTTCCTCCAGCTTCCTCTTCTTCTCGGCGGCGATGCGCATCTGTTCTTCTGCCCAACCTAAGCCATCAAGCAACTCCGGTCTCAGTGCTGGCCAGGACTACAAGAGCCCTGGACTAGATTTGTAGTAGGGTTTAGGGTTTAGGGTTTTAGGGTCTCCCCAACCCAAATTTAGTCCGTAGCTCAAATGACCTCAACCATGACTTGCATGAAGCTAGCGGGATTGCTACTTGCCGTTCCCCGACTACTTTGCCCAAGGGTTCCAGACTGAATATTCAAGGGCAGATGTTCAAGGTAGTTTGATGAACATATATCCTTCACTTGGAGTTCATCCGTCCGCATCTCCCATGTCGCGCCCTCGCTGTAGAGATCCCTGCAAAGTTTGCCGCTATTGAACCTTTCAATCCTAGTCGTGACTCAAATTGCCAACAGGTTTTGAGATGGGAGGTCTACGGCTGCTCTTCCTCCTCAATTTGTGTCACAGTAAATCGCAAAAGTCGTTGCAAGAGGAGCTACAAAACTGGTCGCTACTTCAAGGTTGATGAGTCACGTGGTAGTTTCCATAAATAGGGGACACGAAATGGACACCGGATGCTCTGGTGAGCGTATGCACTCGGAAGACGAAAGTTATTATGGTTTGGGCATGGATGCTGTGGTGATCGGATGCACTCGGAACAGAACACAAACGTCGCTATTATGGTTTGGGCATGGATGCTCTGGTTATCCTATGCACTCGGAAGACAAAAAACGCGATGCGCGGTATGCGCAGGAAATACGAAACACTTCGAATGTGTGGTTCGTGCCACGCAGGCCACATCCGGAGAGGTCGGCCAAGCATGCGTTTTTGTTGGCGTTTACGCTCCGTTGGAGCCAATAACACTAAGAGTCATCAAGTAGGAACTGTAACACTAATCATAATACCAATACTAATAACAATAGCAGTAATAAAGTAGCAATAGCAAAAATACGATCAGAAGATTACAAAAAGGTGTCACAAGCGTACCCAGCTCGGACGGAAAAAGTGTCAAGGCGTTCAGCGTCTGCCCTTTTCGAGCATGGGATTACTGGGTAGATCCCGCAGGCTCGGAGCCAAAAGCAATACGCAAGTGCATCCAGATGCCAGCAGAGCTTACACCTCGCTTGCAAAGCATAAGGCTGCCCACGTCAGACCTCCTGAAGAAACCAAGCTTCCTCATTTTCATGTTCAAGAGTGTTAAAGCCTGGGAGACACATCCAAACTCCTTGCTCGTCGAGCAACGGTCCAGCGTCGCTTGTAGTCAGATGCCAAGTCTTCATTCAGTAAGGCGTCTTTTGTAGGGGGAGGATCTTGAGAGAGGTCATTGCATTCAGAAATCAAAATACACCTCCTGGCTCACACAAATTTGACTCCTACTCTCCCCCTTCCCTAAGACGGGTCGAACTGGTCCGGGTGGACAAGGATGCAATGCGTCTGCTGAGCATCCGGCGCTGAAGCTTCTCTTCTCTTTTCATGCACTCATCCTGGCTCTTAGTTGGATAGTAAGAAGAATACTAGTACTAAAAGAGCAATGAAGCCATTGCTGGGATAGTCATGATGGCTCTATGACTGCAAGATGTTCAAAGAGTAAGGTTGCCCTCTATGCTCATGGCTGATTGCAAATCACATGCAGGAAAACGGTGTTAGAAGGTCAGGATGTAGTACATACCGTAGACAGCCTTCGTCGTAAATGATTGTGCGGCGAATTATGATGAGGACGAGTTCACAGCGGTCGAGTTCAGACGAAAGAAAGCACAAACGGAAGGATGACTTATGATATGAGCAACTGCTGGATAAGGCCACAGCCATGCCAGCCATGATGAGCATGCTGATGCAGCGGATGGGCATACGTCGGAGCACGACACCGGCGGCAGCAACGACGGCGACCACGACGACCACGACGACCACCACGATGATTGTGGCCCTGGTCATGATGAGAATGATGATCATGACGACGATGAAGGTCATGACTATGGTCAGGACGAGGCGATGAGGATAGCGAGCGTAACTGGAAGATCTATCCGAGGTAGATGTGAATGGAAGAGCCTTCAGCCACCACTGAGTCAAGGCTGCTGGATGGATGGCACACAACCCTTTTGATGCTGCGGCGAAGCTGAGGGTACAGCGGCATGTCAACTGCAATGTTTCTAGGCAGCAGGTACAGAGGATGTTCGAGGATTGGTTTGGATAGAGGTGATGGTCCATGGTAACGCTGATGGGCACTACTCGATATCACAGGCTGACAAATACGATGACACCTAGATGCAAGATCTTTGCAACGAAAGAGAGAACCAGAGATACGAACAATCATGAAAGATTCAAGCCACTATGGTCATAGCCTGATGAAGAAAAGGTCGTGCTGAGGTGGGTCCGAACTGAAGTGGCATCTGGTCTGCAAGTGGCCGTTGAAAACAAGCAATCCCCTTGCCTCATGTTAAACCTCCCACAACCCCCCTAAATACCCCCATTATGGAATCTTGTAATGCATTGGGATTATTTAGTATTAGGGGGTGGGGGGGGGTTTTTCCGTGGGAGGGGATTGACACATGCAACCGGTTTGGTGACGATCAGGCAGAACGCCGAAATGATGATAATGATACACACACACTGACACTGATGATAGCGGTAACCATGATGTTGATGACTTCAAGAAGATTATAGCTAATACAAAAACAAAATCATAAAAAGCAAAACAAAATTTAAGATATATGACCAAAGAACAAAGTGTAGTAAGTGTAGTATGCCAAGGAGTTGCAGAAGCAGCCCGACCTCCCAGAGCTCTCGCTGGATCTCATTCCGCGTCCGGACCTCAAGCCGAACAAGTCTTGCTGAATTGTCTTATTATGACTACTATTGTTACTATTTGGGGTTATATTGGGCTTGTATAGGGATAATGGAAAAGAAAATGGAAACTACTATAGTATATTGGGGTTATATGTCATCATCCGAAACGAAAGCAGAGAGAACCTCCTCGCGTCTCATACGACTTTCCTCGTACTTTCGCCTGCGGGGAAATGAACAGCACGTGAGCCATAGTCTAAACTCCTAGTATCCCCGTTAATAGCCCCAAAAGAAATCCCCCAAAATAATCCCTTATGCAACCCCCTTTAAGGAGTTTAGACTATAGCTCATGTAGCATTCTCACTAGTCCTAACCTGACCGAAATTTGCAGCTTGGAGGCATTTTCTCCTCCTTTCTCAGGCGCTCCTTGCGAGTCAGTTGCAGAACTGTGAGAACACGGGCATCTGCAGATGCTGCCACTTCACATAGTCACAGTCTGCAATGAGCCCTGAAGCAAGCCTCAATAAAATTATAGACTTCATTTCCCGCTTGGATGCCACCTACCTTTAAATGGAAATATCCTGCAGATAGTACTATAGGCACCCCCAAAACAAAGGAACCCGCACTTTGCCCCTCTATACCCCTATTTCTCCTTATATACTCTCTATACTCTATACCTTAAATATCCCCATATGAGGTATAGTCTACACTCCAAGTATCCCCATGAATAGCCCCTCTAATACTCTTCCATATAATCCCTTATAACCCTTGAGGAGTGTAGACTCTAGCTCATGTAAGCCAAGATACCCCTAAACCCTAAACCCTACTATGTACCCAGAGATACTGGCCTCTTCTCGCTTTCTTTCTGCCTCAGCGCGCGCCTCGGCGCGCTTCTGCCTCTCCTCCTCGCGGGCGAGCTGGCTCCCCAAGTCTCAGGGTTACGGTTTGGGTTTTAGGATTTTGAGTTTCGAGTGTGAGTTGTTGTTGGTTGTTGTTTGCGGCTCCTTTTTCTGCCTGATCATCCAGGCAGAACGCGCGGTTTTTGGGTTCAGGTTTACGTTTTGGGTTTGGGGCCCCGTTTGGGGTGTTGGTTCTTTTTGACGGGGGGGATTTGGTTTTCAGGCTTCCGGTTCCCCAGCACAGCCCGGCGCCCAAGGCAACTCCCACTCAAGGAGATGACCATTTGATTTCACTTTGTAAGGAAATTCTGAAATTATGGCATGGCTTTTTCACTTGGCAAAGCTCTCTCACGTCTACAATGACTTGACACTCTTGCCTTCAAATGGCTCCAAAAAAGCCCAAAATGGATCCAGGCCAAACTCGGTTCCCACATCCCTGTTAATTCTATGGGAAGGATTAAGGTTTAGGTATGGAAAGGGAACAGAAGCAGCTGTCTTAGTTTAGGTTCAAGTGCAGATTCAGGATGAATACCTGTGATTTTTCTAGCCGGTTTGGAGCTCTAAGTCATTAAAGGCATCCTGTAAGGGAAATGCCGGATGAGTAGATGTTGGGTGGAACTTCTTCTTCTTCTACTACTACTACTACTACCACTACTACTATTGCTATAACTATGACTATTATTCTATTGCTATAACTATTACTACCGCTATTGTTACTACTATTCTTGGATATTTTTCATGTCGTGGCTCGGGTCCTACTACAAAGCCGAGGACGTTCTACGCAAGAGAAAGACTTCGAGTGAAAAGTGGAACTACAATGGTAATAGTAGTAATGACAGTCCTAATGATAATAGTAATACTAAGATCGTAACAAATAATAACAGCAATAGTACTAATGATAGTAATAGTAACAAGGATAGCAATAGCAAAAGTAATAATAATCATGATAGTGCTCCATGCACCAGCTCGATTTCCTATCGGGAGGTGCGGACGTTCCACGCCAGAGTGCAATTTGAGTAGTGTTTTTTGGGTGGTTGAACCCAATAAGATTATATCCCTTATATAACATACTATACCCCAAAAGGAGGATATAATCTTACTCTATATTGGGTACCATAATATCCTCAAATTAAAAACTACTCATTTGAGTTCCCCCTTTACCACAATGAAAGGACGGGTGAGTTGGGGAAGCCGAGCTCTCCGCCGTGTACAAAACGGATGTAGATCAAATATGTGAAGGTTTGCCATTGGGTACTGCCCCCTTCAGTAACAGTTGGATAATAATTCTGATATATGGTTATATATAGCACTTAATAGGACCCCTAAGATAGTCTGTTACTGAGTGGGGGCAGTACCCAAGTTTGCCAAAATTAGGGGTCCCTTCCTGGGCAGTCGCGGACCAGTCCAACAGCAAGGTAATCGTAATTATCGTAGCAATAGGAAGAAATACTGTTATTATAAGTATAACAGTAAGAATAATAATGATACTAACAATACCCTAAACCCTAAATCCTAAACCCTAAACCCTGGTAATACTTGGACTTGTTGCAGCAGCCGTGCACCGAAAGCTTCTGCGCTGCCTTCCTCAAAGTAGAGCCAGCTTGGCCGGCTCCGTGTCGGCCACAACAAATACCCGCCCAAAGGGGATATTGGGTTTAGGGTTTAGGGGTTTAGGGTTAAGGGTCTACAATGCTGCAAGTTGGAACTATGCGCCCCTAGTATGGGCCCTTGGTCCTGGGGTCTTTATATGCGGATTATATACCTTATACAAACCCAGGTCTTTCGTGAGCCGCAAGTTTTCCGTTACACTTTGCCACACGTAGGAACAGCAGCAGGGTCTGAAAATGATTAATCTGGGTTGCTGTTCAGGAACATAACTTAACTTACTATAACGAGGAAACCCTATTATCTTCTATATCCGTATTATGCTAGGCTGAGGTTCTTAACTGCAACCCAGTAATGTAGTTATGTTACGCTTGTCATCATGAAACATCCCGAGGACCCATCCGCCTTGCAAGGTGTGGATGCACCACAATGGCCGTGATTAGACGCTTGGATAATAACCCCAATATAATAGTAGTTTCCATTTTCTTCTCCATTATCCCTATATTACCCCTATCCCAACCATTACCCCTATATTTACCCTAATGGAAGGCTTCACAAGTGAAATATGCTCAGCTCCTCTTCTCGACGCAGCCGCTCTTCTTCCGCCTTCCTACGTTTCTCCTCTTTTCGTTGCCTGTCCTCGCAAACGAAGCTTCGGTCTTGAAGACTACAGCCTACGTGAACAGTGAAGTCGCCAACTGCCTCCTCCCTCCTCATGCGATCTTGCTCCCAAAGCCTGCTCAGCGACACAGTTGAATGTTGCTCTTGGCTCCCAGTGGCTCACACTGATGGCTGCAAGCACTCCCGAAAAAAGGCAGGTGCGTTTCATGGTCACAAATTGAATGACACTGGCCTCCTCTTTTCTTCTCGCTTCTGACGCTCCAGCTCGCGCTCACGTTGCTCCTGGCGCATCTCCACGACGTCTAAACCCTGAACCATAAACCATAACCCCGTGGCAGGCAGTCTAGATGGAATCTGGACGCAAAACATGATCTGAGCCTTTGTCTCAACTCCTAGTATCCCCCCTAATAACCCCTTTAATAGTGCCCTATAGTATCCCCTATATAACCC